TCTACAAACTTGAAACCATATGAATTCATTCTTCATTAGACATGCATTTCAGGTAAAAAATATCTTCCTTGAAACAAAGTTTTTGTCTGTTTATAGCATCTGCAATTTTCGAAAATAACAGGTGACGAAATTGGTGCCTCCGTGTTGGTGAAGTTTGATATCTTTTTTCTCGTAAGTTATGCCGTTAATCATAAAACGAAGTTGACTTTCGGGCTACCTGGTGAGAGGTGCACGAAATATAAAATACTCAATGAAATCTAAAATATCAACTTTTGGACCCGTGTCTATCTCTCGTGGAATCACCCTTGTGCAGAAGCTCCGCTCCCATAGGTTTCTCTCCAGTGCCAAGAAAAGTTGTCGCCGAGTATACCTGAGGAGGGGGCGAAGCTTGCTGTGTTGCCGGCATTTCTCACAGCTGAATCGCTGCTTCTGAACACTGAGACACAAGAAGAAAGAGGGCCCGAGTGAGGCGATTCAGTACATTGTTTTGAGACTTATTTGTTGATGCACTAGGGGTGTCAAGTCCAAAACTGGGCGTTTAGGGTCGGGTGTTTCGTCTCATGTATGCCGTAAAAAACCGGCACTATAATGCCGCTTATCCTAAGGTGCTTCTTCTTTCCTACATGCCCGCTTTCTATTTAATAAGGCAAGTTGGGAAGAGTGTTTAAAATCACCAATGTCGCTGGCTATATGTTGGCCTACTGCATTTATTATTTTCATGTTTAGCGGACAGGTGTGCTTAGAAAAAGCGGGTAACAATTTGAAGTACAAGGTATTTTGCTATGGGAGAGTTAAAGCCATCCCGTTGTCCTCAATGTCTACTTCTATACATTTTCCGCCGGACTGTGCGTTTAGAAAAAAATCATTAACGATTTTGAGTACTTCGTACTCAACTATGGGAGATTGTTGAGCCGTCCCTAAAAGCCCTCTTGGAAAACGGTACTATAACTTTGCAAAAAATGTTGCACACAATTTTGTTCCAAGTAGATAACTTAGCCGCATAGATGCATGTTTTTGTATCTGGTTCTAGGTAAGAAAATTCAGCGTTTTTTAAAACAAAAAAACTTTGTGGGGCTTCTGAAAACGTTGTTAAGCCAAACCGTATGTTTAAGGCACTAACAAAAAACCTAAACTGATCACATACAGAGACTACCGGTGGCGAGTGGTGAGATTTACCAAATTTTTTGGTGCATAACCCTTTATGATGGACACGGACGACAACCTGATACGGAGACAAGCCGAAACACTAAGCTATTCGCAACTTTCACGACCTAATGGGGGTGCGACTACACATCTAACATAGCGGTCGTTCACATGATTGCCCCTCAAGAGACGATACCAAAAAGTATTTTTTGGCGAATACTGCAATTTTTTTGTATTTTGGTAGCCCTTGGATTTATCTTTTTGAGAAAGTAGAGGAGCGCTAATATACTATATTAAGTAAATCAATGTCAGGTAGCATATTGGCAAAAAAGTATGCGCAAAATTGTATCGTATCGAGCAGACGAACTAAGCGCGTGAACTGAAAACCTAGAAGTTGCTGTACTCGTGCAGAAAATGGGTGCTGCATACATTCACGGGTCTTGCTTATTTGCCTGCTACATTTAACGCTAGTAACCTCTGATGACTTTTTAGGGCAATAGTTTGAACGCGACGCCTAATTTTCCTCCCGGTGTACATAAGCTGTGAGCATCGAGGCTCGCAGTGACATCAGTCGCCTTTTTCTTTTTCTTCCTACATTCCCTTTATCTTAAGAAACTGAAAGGTTTACGGTAATATCTAGACCGTTTCCGACGTTGAAAAACGTCCACAAATGCGCGAAAACAAGCAACAGCGTCTGCTGTTTGAAACAGATTCCAAACTTCAATCACGCCCCACCGCGGTCGTCTAGTGGCTAAGGTGCTCGGCTGCTGAGCCGCATGTCGCAGGATCGAATCCCGGCTGTGGCGGCTGCATCTCCGATGGAGGCGGAAGTGCTGTAGGCCCGTGTGCTCAGATTTGGGAGCATGTTAAAGAACCCCAGGTGGTCCGAATTTCCGGAACCCTCCACTGCGGCTTCTTTCATGATCAAATGATAGCTTTGGGCCGTTTAATCCCACATATCTATTAATAAATTGATATCAATCATCAAAACTTCAATAATTTCAACAAAGCTTCCGACCGCCACCACTCAGCGGCGCCATGATATCTGGAAGTTTAAATTACAGCCTCAAAGAGCACGCATGCAACATTGACAAGCCATGCAATACATGAGTTCCCATATATTTATGTAATTCAAGCAACGCGATGTACAGCCATCACAATCTTTGCAACGAACGCTACTGCGCGTGTCCCGCAGGAACGTTCGGTTCTGTTGCCAAGATGCTAACCCTACATGCCGACATACCATCCAAGCCTACCGAGGTATTATCTCGGCAAAAACGCCCAGCACTTCACGGCTGCCATCAATCAAACTAGCACTAACCACGCATCGAAGTGTTCGTGTTAGCCTGCGCACTATACCGATTCCCGCAGAAATTCTGACCTCGCGGATTTTTTTTAGGAGCGAAGCTCCTTATAGCGGCACCCGTTCGTCCCTCGTAGTCGTAGTCGTAGTCATAGTGTGTAACTAGTCTTACGTTTTCACCTGCAAGGTGGTGCCGGTGGGAGATTTCTCCTGTGCGTTGTTCAACAATAAAAACTTCGTAGCGTGCGCGTTAACTAAAAGCCGAATTCTCCTGTCTCTCATTCCCCATTAGCAGCCATGGGCATGTACAACGAGCACTATCTGACAAGGGTTGCTACGTTATACTCGCTGGGCGTAACCTCCTTGGTTTTAGAAAGTTTTAGCGAGCGTTGGGCCGCTGTGCCATGAATACAGTGAACTAGTATATACCATGAACTCGAGGTGGTTAAAGCGGGGGAAGTAGACACGAAGCGCAAGCCTTAATAATGTCTGCGTGTGCCTCCTCTCGTTCAGTCCTTGGAATGTCCACTGAATAGCGGTGCTTCTATATGCGGAATGTGTGATGAGAAGATGCGAGATGGTGGTACTTGGAGTGTTGAATAGATGGACGAACGGACACACAGACATATGCGTTGACGGATGCACGGATGGATGCATGGACGGATGGACGCATGGACGGACGCAGGGGCGGACGCATGGATGAACGCAGGGACAGACGCACAGATGGACGTGCGGACGCATGAACAGACGCAGGCACGGACGGGCGAATGAACGCACGGATGGTCACACAGATGGACGCATGAATGGACGGAAGCAAGAACGAATAAACGGACAGATGCTTCGCCCCACTCTCCATCATTCACTCCGTGGATATGCTGTCATTGTTTTTTTGATCCACTGAATCTGTAGGCTTTTTCTGCAGTGCTTATCTGACAACTTGGGTAATTCACTGCGACACGCAAATTCATCGTCCTAGTTACACCGCCCTCCGGCGCAAGTCATATGTCGCTTTCGTTAACCCATTTCCGACGCGAACAAACATGAGCCCGGCGTAGTTAACAATGAACTCTGATTTAAGCTATGGCGTTCTTCCATACTTAATAATTATTTATTACCTAATTATTATTTATAGTTACCTCCACCACCGAAGCATTACAGATTATGATGATATGCGGGATTTAACGTCCCGAAACCACCATATGATTATGAGAGACGCCGTAATGAAGGGCTCCAGAGATTTCGGCCACCTGGGGTCCTTTAACGTGGCCACAAATCTGAGCACACGGGCCTACAGCATTTTCGCCTCTATCGAAAATGCAGCCGCAGCAGCTGGGATACAATCCCGGAATCATTACTGAAGGAAGCGGGTTACTACATATAGATATTGAAAAGACAGAAACAAAACGTGAGATCTTATACGAAAGCCCCGCCACGGTGGTCTAGTGGCTAAGGTACTCGACTGCTGACCCGAAGGTCGTGGGTTCGAATCCCGGCTGCGGCGGCTGCATTTCCGATGGAGGCGGAAATGTTGTAGGCGCGTGTGCTCAGATTTGGGTGCACGTTAAAGAGCCCCAGGTGGTCGAAATTTCCGGAGCCCTCCTTCACGGCGTCTCTCATAATCATATGGTGGTTTTGGGACGTTAAACCACACAAATCAATCAATTGATCTTATACGAGAAATAAGCCTACACGAAATAAAATTTCTACTCAATGAAACGCAAAAAGGAACAGAAACGTAACAAAACACAACAGATTGAATTCTTCCATGCCTTGAGCAAGCGTTACAGCCTATTTTGCTAAAAAGAACATATCAATGTTGAGAAACAGAACACTTCGAATTTTCGTCTGCCCCTTCTTCTAAACGAGCACACAGCGTACCTAGTGTTGAAAGTCCGAAAACCAAGATATAATTGTGAGGGTTTCCACAGTGGAAGGCTCCGCAAATTTCACCCATCTGGTGTCATTTAACGCGCCGTGTAATCACACAGTACACGGGCATCTACCACTTCATATCCGTCGAAATGCAACGGCCACGGCCAAGATCGAAGCCACGCCCTTCGGCTGAGCGGCTGAGCAGCTGAGCACCGCGACCGATACACCACCACGGCGGACTGCGCACAGCGTGTTTAAACAGCGTCAGAATCAACTTTGGCGGTGATACCAACGCCCAGTCTTCTTATTTTCATTACAAACGAACGACCTGAGAAAGTCGCGCACGTATGGCCTCCTTGCGAGGTGGAGAGGTTTCTGCAGGAAAAGCGATTTGTAGAGGAGAGGGAAACGACCTCCCTCAGTATGCTTGTGCTTCGGCTACCCCCCCCCCCTCAAAAAAAAGTAAGTAAAAACCTTGCGTAAACTGATGCCAGCACTATCACCCGGGTGCGGTAAAAACAGCACAGATCTATTTCCGCTACCATTGCGAGAAGCTTCTGCATGCGTTGTACAGCGCAAACGCCTACAGGCCTGTTATCTGGTGTGCGTCGACGATGACTATATGGCAGCTCAAATGGCGTAGTCGTTTGTTTGTTTTTCTGCTTCTCTAATATACACGTCGCTCCGTTAATGCAGCCGTGCTATGCGAGACCACTTGAGTTCACGGGGTCTTGGCAGCTGCCGTTCTTCTGGTTGAACTTATCCCGAGCGAAGTAGCTGCAGATTCATTCCTGCCGGGGGTTCTCGATGAGCCAAAATCTGCGTGACATATATAAGTGGTAAGTGGGAACTATTTGAAATATATTTCGCTTTAGCTTCTTTCCGCGTGATTTGTCCATTTAGAATCTCGACAGCTAAACTAGCTACATTTCTGATGCAAGTGTTCTGCTAGTCTCGCAAAATCACCTTTCAGGAATAGTTTGTGAGCGTTGATGGAAAGAAGGGCGAACTATTAATGGTGATCTTAACTGGCTATGAAGAGAGGGAGAAGGACTGCCTTAATGAGGGCTTAGCGGAATACTAAACATTTCCTCATATCTCACCCGTTACTTAAGAACTTCATAATATTTTAATCTAACTGGCTTCATAACATGCCCACGTATACGATACAGCGATCGGTTTAAAGCAGCCCACCGGTTGGGCTACAAAGTGCGCAGCTGCGCGTGGCCCCTTGCAGGTGCGTAGCGGATATTTCAACCCTATGCGAAAGAAAGAATCGTGTCTAGTGGGTCTATCGTAACTGCACTTGCAGTAGCCATTTTAGAATATTTTGAAACAACCCATGTTACGCGCAGAAAAGTTCTTTTTCTTGCGACAGAGTTCAAGGCGATGCGCAGGGCTCCTTATCAGGCTATCTCGTTCAGCTATTTTAGGCGAAGCTGAAGCGTTCTCCAACTTTTCGTCTTAATAAAATGAAGGTGATACCTTCCATTAAGTAGGCAAATATTCAAAGCCGCACATAGTACCCTAAATATTAGGGCATTATACGCCACCAACCGCTCTCGCATTCCACAGTTTTTTTTCTCAGTATTGAATAAGTGATAAGCAAAAGTGAAACACTTTCTTACAGGGTGCGTGCTCGCACCAAGAAATACTTTCGGCAAAAATAAAACAACGTGCGAGGCCAGTTGCCTATGGCTACGAACGGGGAACCTAGTCCCGTTGCGGCTAATGACACCTTCTTTTATATATTTTATTTTTTACGCCAAGGCCACCACTCGAAATCTTCTCATTTTCTTTTGCTGGTCTTGCTTGAACACATAAGAGCGGCGAGGCGGAAAGACTGCAAACAGCCTTCCGCCAGGCCAGGTTGATCGGCCTTGAATGAGCGAAACGCTTGCTGTGGGTCAAACACGTGCGAGAATGTATACGCAGCGCTTGGCTCACTTATCATTCGACGTAGCTACTTTTGTTTGTTGTTGCGCTATCGTACGGGAGGATATCCAAGCTGTGGACGGTGTTGCCCAACCACAGGAGCACATGGCGCTTATAGTCCTCCCTGCCCATTGCTTCTATACAGACGAAAGGGGAGCACGCACACGGAGAGCTACAGAAAGAGACAGCAAGAGACAGTGCAAGGGCAACACGACAACAGAGTGACACGGGACAGCGCCTGTCCTGCGCCGTTCTTCTCGTATTGCAGTCCTTTTGCGCTGCTTTTAAGATGACAATCAAGCAATTCCTAACAACTGGACACTACTACGAAGCACAGTTCGCCATACCCAGGTGAGGCGCAACCGACTCGGGGCATAAATATGTGGGGTATAAACACTGCCAGCATGTAAACTTCACAAGAGAGTCTGATTAATTCAACGCTGTGTCTGCGGGAAGCGAGTGCAACCACCTCATGTTTATCTAAGCTCAACGTCTTTTTCACGTTTACTCCTGCATCATTTGTGTTCATCTCTAACAATGACATCTCGTTGTATCAGAACCATGTTGAGGCCCACCGGCCTGAACATCACTGTTCGAGAATTAACAAAAACGCGAAGAAACGTGTGTGTGTGTGTGTGTGTGTGTATGTGTGTGTGTGTGTGTGTGTGTGTGTGTGTGTGTGTGTGTGTGTGTGTGTGTGTGTGTGTGTGTGTGTGTGTGTGTGTGTGTGTGTGTGTGTGTGTGTGTGTGTGTGTGTGTGTGTGTGTGTGTGTGTGTGTGTGTGTGTGTGTGTGTGTGTGTGTGTGTGTGTGTGTGTGTGTTTTGGGGGGGGCGACCTGCCAATGTGCAGGGAAGGAGTGGATGCTGTCGGAAGATATTCCATCGGCAAATGTGTCTCTTGTGCATTCTTGTGGCTACTTCACCTGACTTACAAATATAGAAGTTGGGTGCGCTGTTTTACAATGAAAGCTCCAATAAAAGAGCAGAAACATCCATTTTTGGCACCGTAATAGTATACCGTTGCACCGATGCCGATATTCGTACTGCTATCACGCGAAATAAAAAAATGAATTAAATAGGCCCAAGTCAGAAAGTAGTGCCAACGAGGGTCCTCTCCTTGAAGGCGCACTACTCTAAAATATAGCCATATCAGTGCTCGAAAATTGTTCGCCGAAAATCCTATCCAGGCTTCATGTCTGGAAGGAATGATGTACGCATATGTAATATATTGTGGTGAAAGACAAATGTAACGACCTGGCGTCACACCTTCCGTAATGAGTATCTAGGCATCATATAGTCTGAACCGCGTCGTTGAATGCTTCCAATTTGTAAAAAGGCTCAGCTATAATTTTTCATCGACGTTAGCTACTCAATCAGCAGGACAATACCAACCAGGCCTCCGACAACGCCAACTCTGTAACTAGTGGGTTGTTCAAATCTTCCAACTCATTCCAGAGGTCTGAACCATAATTCTTCATCGTCATTAGCAACAAAATAAGCAATACAATAACAACCAGACCTAAGAGAATGCTAATTGAGCAACGAGTGGGTCGTTTCGCTTTTCCGACTCATTCTGAAGGGCTCGCTATAAATCTTCATGGTCATCGGCCATCACTCCAAGGAAGTGCTTGATTATCAACAGAACAATGAATAACGGCGTTGGGAGAGCTTACCAACTAGAAAAAAATGATGCTTTATGACGTATTGAGTACATTTCAAGTGTACCGCATCAGCATCTCAAGGAACCCTCGAGATGCAGATGTGATGTTGACAGCGACATTACAATCAAAATTTACGACAAATATTTAAACTTTTTCACCGCACTTTGCTTTGTGTCAGAGCTGTTATGGCGATAGTAAACTAATAGAATGTGGAGAGGATTATTTCGTGAAACAAGCAGTGCGAAGTAATCTTAGTAATGTCTTTTTTACGTCCTAGAAACACACGTAAAAGACATCACCAAGGTTAATGCAATCTTCTTGTTACAACAGTGCAGTAAATGAGATATGACATGCTTCTATACCGTCATAGGTGCTGCTCAAAAGCATCGTCTTTGAGATCAGCATGCAGACTCCGACATTGCAGCGGTGGGGCGTGTGATTTAAATATTGGGCATATTGTTCTTCTCATGCAAAAATGCATGACGTTACAAGTTATGCCGTCAAGCTTCCTTCAATTTATATAACATTTAACTTAGTATTTTGAAATGAATTCTTCATGCACAAAACTTGCTGCCTGTCTTTGAGAAATACTCCTAAGAAAGCAACCATGCTAGTGAGCATTTATATGCACTTTCATTATGCCATGTGGAGGCGCGTGTGCATCGCAATGAGCGGGGTCGCGCTTGGTGATGCCTTTTATGAGCGCACGCGCCCAACGCACACATTTTTCACAACAGTTACAGCACCCTTAGAGGTGAAAGCCAAAAGCAAATTTGGAGGCTTTCTGATCAACGTGACAGCGTGGGAGCTTGCGCGGTCTCTTGCATCCATTGGCTCCGAGATGATGCGCCGACACATTCCGGAGAACATGAATCACCGAAAATATTTCGGTGTGGCGCTGTTGAAGCGTTTCTGGTGCGCATGCTCAGATGGCGCCCATGAAAAAGGTCCATTTTGTATGGTTTGGGAATGCTTAATTGTTATTTTGTGCTTGTCATTCATATTAAATGAATTAGGAACAAGCGTAGCCTTCAACGAGTGGTGGGACGCTGATATTGGCCTGTGCCGCACTATCATTGACGGCGCTGTTGCTTCCATCGCATCAGCTCGATCAAAGCAAAGCGTCAAGTCAAGCGGAAGCCAAGTAAACACGCCCTTGATTTATTTCCGAATGCGTGCTCCGCCGCTTTTATACACACAGCCTGCGTTCGATGGAGACGAGACGAGACACGAGTTGAGGCGAGCATGCGCAGTGGTGGTGTGGACGGCGCCGACGCCAAAATGCAGCATCGTGCGACTGATTAAAACAAAAGTCGAAAAAGGAAGAAATGAGCAGCTATTGTGAAGACGCATAAAACGAATGCGCCTTTGTATAGACATTCGTACAAGGGTGGTCGCTTTTAAATAGCACAATAGGGCTTTCGTGTTCTTGAGCGCGCTCGAAATCACAGACCAATGTCCCAAGATCTTGTTGTCCGATAGTGGTCTTGCATCTGTACGGTGGAAAAAAATATCATACATGCTTAAGCACAAACAGATGTGAATGCTATCGCATGATTGTTTACTTCCGTACAAACACTAACACTATTTTAATAACAACAGAAGTCAAGGACTAAGCAACAGCAAAATAAATAATGTTATGAATACAGCACCTCTCTCAGATGTCCGTATCCATTGTTGAAATACCTAACTAGAAGCTCTATTTTTATTTATGAAGGATAACTTTCTCATGGAACATGAAAAAAGTCAGTCAGTCAGTCAAACTCTTTATTAAAAGGGAGCTTAAGCCATGCAGAGGAGCTTAAGCCACGAAGGGTGTTCACGACAGATATCCTAGCAGCCGCTGCTGTAGGCGACGTGGCATTCCCCCACTTTTTGGGCCCTCTGGACTGCCTTTTGTTGGTGTTGGCGCATGGGTCTCTTGAGTGCCTCTTCCCAGTCGGGACTCACTGGTGAAAGGTCTTTGGGGTAACACGGGGCATTGTCAGAGCAAGTGTGTGAGGGAATAGTAAACTTCCGAAATTTTCGAAATTTTTTATCGCAATAAAGAAATATTGTCTGTCATTAACTTTCACACCTAAATGTGCATCAACTCAAACGATTTACTTCCATTTCTGCATTCCACCCTCCATTCCACCCTCGCGCCTATGAAATGCAAAGCATTTTTTTTGCGTACTACAGGCACTTTGAGCATATACCTACGTATCTATCTATCTATCTATCTATCTATCTATCTGTCTATCTATCTATCTATCTATCTATCTATCTATCTATCCAGCTATCTATCTATCTATCTATTCAGCCACCTATGTCTGGGTGCTCTCGTTATCACTCCCTAACTAAGGATAAACTAAAAGAAAAGCTTTAGAGGGTAAGATGATTTGACAAATACGACTCGCTAGTCATGACATGAATAATGTCACAATCTCGTCTCGTCGTCAGACAGTCTAGGAAAAACAGTGGCACATACCTAGGGCCGGGTATGTGCCACTGGAGAGGGACAGCTTGTTTTTACCGAGAAATAGTGAGAACGCACATAGGTAATTTTAAAACTTGACTGCTTATGAAAAGCTGGCATCAGCAGCATTGACCAGGGATGCAAAAATAAATGTAAGGGACCCTGCAGGAATCAAATATTAGCATTCTCTGTGGCATTCAAGTATTTTACCACAGAGCCGCGCCAGGTCTCGGAACTACTTATCAAACACAAGCTATTGTCCATGAAACCTGAATTGTGGTTGCAGTACTGGCTATCCAATTTTATGAACATTATATATGTACTACTATCATACGTCTGCCATGTCGGGTTAACGTCACATTTAGTTAGACGCCATCCAGTGAAGTTTATTTTTGTTGCAATGTTGGCGGCTACTATCCTTGCGAGCACCAGCGCATGCCCCAACGCGTCATACCAGCTTACTTTCTGGTGTTACTAATACTCATATTGCTGTTGGCATCGTTCCGCAATTGTAAACAACTGCTAATATGAAGCATATGCGGCTGTTGAACTTAAGTCTGTGCGTGCATTTTCACATATATTTAGCGCCAGTTCATAACGTTTCGCTCAATAAAAGAATCACAACTTGGTAACCTTCCATTCGCATGTTTCGCACAACATCCATTCCCAAGGTACGTGGAATCTGCCAAATTTTTTCTTTGATAAGCGACAAACGTGTCTCTCTGCTGGAAGCTTGTGCACCTCGGCGGTACAGGGGCTGCGGCGCTCGGCTGCTGATCTGAAGGTCATGGGTTCAATCCCGGCTGTGACGGTAGTGGTTCGAACGAGGCGATATAGTACCGCGTAGTGCATGATGTGAGTGTACGTTGTAAACTTACGGGGCCCTCCACTGCCGCATCTCTCTTATTGATATCATAGCTTTTTGACGACCAACCAGTTATTATCTTTTATATTACTGTTGGAAGCTTACCATTAGGCGCTACAAATATAATAGAAGAGGTCTCGTTTCTGCAAGTGTTTCACATCTAGTACAGTTCGTAAGAGCATCCTTCTCCAATAAAATTTCAAATGTCTGTACTTGGTCCGTATTCACGAAGTATAAGAAACATCATCTTTGTATCAGCAATACATATTTATGCAAGTACTCATCCGAATACGGATGGAAGCGAAAATACTTGAGGCCCATGCGCTTAAATTTAGGTGCACGTTAAGCCCCGCCGCGGTGGTCTAGTGGCTAAGGTACTCGGCTGGGGACCCGCAGGTCCCCGGATCAAATCCTGGCTGCGGCGGCTGCTTTTGTAATGGCGGCGGAAATGTATGTAGGCCCATGTGCTCAGATTTGGGTGCACGTTAAGGAACTCCAGGTGGTCGAAATTTTCAGAGCCCTCCACTATGGCGTCTCTTAAATCATATGGTGGTTTTGGGACGTTAAACCCCATATATCAATCAATTAGGTGCACGTCAAAGAGCCCCAGGTGGTCGAAATTTCCGGCACCCTCCTCTACGGCTTCTCTCATATTCATATGGTGGTTTTTGGACGTTCACCCTCACATATCAATCAATCGTATCTAATACACTCATATCATCACTGTTTCACCTTCGTTTTGAACTTTCGCTTTCTGAGTGCTCATGTGCGCTAAGGCTGTCTCGGGCATGTGCAAGGTTCTTGAAGAAATGTATCTAATATCGTTTTAAAATTAGCAAGAGAGGCCATTTGCTCGCTGTCATGAAAGTTACTTTTTTTGTAATGGCAGGCATTTTAAACTCTAGAATGCATGATTGGGGACAGAACTTATGAAAGCTAAAATAATTAACTTTTTATGTAGAGGAAATAGGCCTTTGAGTCAAAAGGGAGAATCGAAGTTTTTCATGCGCAGAACTGATTGCCGCTTTGAGGTTTTGGAAAATTCGCCTCTAGTGTTAACTGTGAAATAAAGAAATTCTCTCCAATTCTGCGGCGAAACCAAAACCAAAACGCGAATGAGCGCAACTGCAATGAGGGACCGTTGTTACACCAAAAATCAATAAACTTCGTCGTGTGGGTGTGTAGACTGCCCTCTCAATCACAGCACGCACTACCCACATACGTTAATAAACTGGGCAAAAATTGGCCTCTGTGACCACTGTTTTGCGCACTGACATCATTGTAGTCGTCTGTTTGTCGCTCTCATCGGTCCTTTGGTTTCGACCTGAGAATAATTTTCGTTTCGCTGCAGAATTTAGGATAACTTTATTATTCGGCAGTTCTTGCTAGAGGCCGCTTTTTCGAAATCTCAAAGTGACCATTGGTTTTTCGCATCAGGGACTTCAATTCTCTTATTTGAGTTAACTGCCTAACTCCACTAAATAAAATTTTAATTATTTAAACTTTTTAAGTACCGTTCAAAAGGATGCCTTGGAGCCTCTTAAGATGCCTGACACTACAGAAAAAGAAGTTAATTATTGTAACTTTCTTAAATTACTGTTCGAAGTGATGCCTTCCACCCTCTTACGATGCCTGCCGCTACAGAAAAAGCAACTGTGAAGACATCAAGCAAATGGCGTCTTCTGTTGATTTTTAAAAAATATTGGACAGATTTCTTGAAACACCCTGTATATGCAATGGTAAACAAAAGAATTAATTGGTTTATATTGAGCGCTCGTGCGAGTCTTTTCTATGTAAGGCATCTTGTGTGTTTGCGATGTTAGTTCAATTTCAGGAGTATTTTCAACCAATACATAATCAACAACAAACGCTTATGGTACTAAAGTGATGCAGTTATTGTTGACCTGGAGCGTGGTTGCATATGATAATATTATGCGTCTATTAACCTGGTTAAAAGACCTCGCTGCCAAAGCCGTAAAGATGGCACCCACGCGACGTAGGTGAGAACTAGACCTGAGGATTGAAATAGGGCTTTTGTGGGGATGTCGAAAATGGTAATTTTTTATGGGCACTACAAGCTACAGATTTTTCTAGGTCATTTTTGTTCCTGTCTTTTATGGTATATTAATTATTTATTTTAAACAGTGAAAAGTTTGTGGCTTCGTAAGCACACTGAACCACATCATGAAAGAAGAACTCGAGATCGCGGCGAAGGAAGAGCTCGGAGAAACTCCTGAACTAAGAAGAAAAAGCCTGGACATATTTCGGAAACTTCTGCAAGGTACATTGCACAAATAATCTTGCTGATGCCAGCAAACGAACAGAAAGTGTCGTAAAGAGAGTATAGAGAACATGTCCTTTTTTCTTCCTACACAATTACTTAGTACGGATCATGAACAGAGATCTTACGTATAACTATGCGAGAAGGGAAGTTCAATGGCTTTGTTTCCAGTTTGAAAAGTACCTTATTTTACTAGAGATATTGATGGCTACGGACATGAAAACTCAAAACTGTGGTGAGAAGTGCAATTCGTTAAAAGTTTTTCAATGGAGTTCTTTCAATATTAGGGTGAGGAGGAGGAGAAGAAACAATTATTGAAAATTGTGCTGCTAGATTTTCTCCGGGCTGCTCGGCATGTGTAGTCTTAAACTTGAGGCAAAAGCTTCTTGAGGCCCACGAGCCGAGAGTGTAACAATGCTGAATGTTGGCCTAGTTTGGTACTTGCTCAATGGCATGCTTTGGCCGTAAATAACACAGACACAAAGTAAAGGAACACTCAGCCGCTTGTGTGGTCGTTGAGTGTTCCTTCACTTCGTAAATACATAAAGCCATCCTAGACTCGTTGGAAGCTGTTGGAATCGGTGGTCGGATGTTCCAATGGATCCAGGATTATTTGACGAGAAGGTCTTTTTTGTACAAACCTCAGATGGACCTACCACCAATTACTATACCTCCCGTGGCGTCCCTCAGGGCGCCGTATTAAGTCCCACTTTATTTAACCTCGTGATGGTAGGCCTTCGTGAAAATTTGCCAAGTACTATCCTCATATCCATATATGCTGACGATATTTGTCTATGGACTTCAGCTGTAACTCGTCTACAAGTACGTGCAAGATTCCAGCAGGCTGCCACCCTGACATGCTCATATCTCCGCAAGCAAGGTCTTTCCGTCTCAACGGAGAAATGTGGATTGGTTGCGTTTACTCGCAGAGCCATGACACAATACCCCGTTACCATCAATGGACAAAATATTCCATACCAGAAAAACCATCGCTTCCTGGGTGTGATTATTGACAGGTACCTTTCGTGGAGTGCCCACTGCAGTTATCTGAAAAGACGGCTAACTTCCATTGTCCATATAATGCGGTTCTTCTGCGGAAAATCTTGGGGCACATCGATAAGGTCAATGATGCAGCTATACAGGGCACTCTTTCTGAAATTTTCTCGCTACAGCTTGCCGTTACTGGCAAGTACGTGCCAGACGAACATCCGCACCCTCGAAAGTCTGCAAGAACAAGCACTACGCGTGTGCTTAGGATTGCCGCGATGCACCTCAACCTACGGGGCAATTTTGATCGCAAGAAAACGTCCAATTCAAACACACATCACCACTGACAATTTGAGAGCCCACAGAAGACACCTCTGCCGAGTTCCTGGTCACCATGTTGCAGTGTTGCCACTTCAAAGACCACAAGCGATGTTTTCAAAGATTATTTCTGCCCATAGAGAATGCCTTCCTTTTGGCTTCACTCCAGCAACAAGACCAGCGTCACCTCCGTGGTGCCTACAACAACTACAGGTGTGCCTCTCTATTCAAGGAATAACGAAGAAGAGCCGTCATTCAACAGTGGTCCTACGACAGGTGACATTGTCGCTACTCAACGAAAAATACGGCCAGAGGACCCACATTTACACCGATTGATCGGTCTCGGCTAACAGCTCCACAGGTGCTGTTGTCTTCCTGACGTACCAGGTCACTATAAAGTTCAAACTATCGCATAATACCACATTCACAGCAGCGGAGCTTGCCGCCTTACGTGCTGCTATACTTCATATCACGCAAGCCCGGCCTCAAAAATGGGCTGTGTTCTGCGACTCCAAGGCATCCCTTCAGAGCTTGCAATCAGCTTTACGACAAAGGGTACATCAACAACTAGTGAATGAAATAAGAGAAGTGCTTCACGAAGTTTTATGGAAAGAACATGACGTTGTGTTCCAGTGGTTACCGGGACATTGTGGTATTGCCACAGGAAATTACCATTGCTCCACGCAAGGCGGACGTTGGCAACCAGAGAAACGCTAACGGCATGACTACGAGCGACGAAGCCAGCCGCAATGCATGAGCCGGCCCTGCATGCGCCCCGTACTCCGCCGAACAGCCAATGCGCGTGAAGAAGAAGAGAACGAGAGTGCTCGAGGCAGAGGCTCACGAGGTCTACCACCCTTGGATCTTAATTGCTTGCGTCGTTCCATTGGTTTATGTTCGCCACCCTCTCGAAAAGATCCAGCCAGTCTTCGGCGTCCTCGAACGGGTCACCATGGAACACCTTCGGTATGACGGGCTGGCTGACAATGAGCTGTGATGGTGCAACTTGGCTAGTCACGGTGGTGGCGTTTCTTGTTTCCGTCGCTGATGCCCTTGGCACAGGGGGAAGTGGTCCAAATTCTGGTGAATCCCCTCGAATGCGGCGACTGATCCGTTGGTGCACCGGCGTAAGCTCCACCGCTTGCGGATGGTCAGGGACTTCGCTCTCTCGTGGGGGTCGGAATTATCTACCCAGCACCTCCACCAGAAAATGTAACAAATGTAGCAGCCTCACAACAACGATGTTCTATTTACACAGTTTATTAAGGGCGATCTTGAGCCCAAAGTGAACGACGCAAGCAATCAAGATGATGATGATGATGATGATGATGATGATGAACCTTCGGCTTTGCTGGCACTCGCCCACAAAGGGGGATCGGTCAAGAACCGGGCGGCAGGATCATCAAGTGTGTTCAGTCAGGCATTCAAGTAGTCTCGCAGCCGTAAATAATAACAATAGGCTAACAGGGTAATTAATCTCTTTGTTGCCCTTATGTACTCGCACACAGCAGAGAAAACCTCCCTGTGGCTATAATTTGATGTAATCCCTCCGAAGGATAAAATTAGTTCCACGTTTATTTTTCAACCTAGCTTCTCAATTGGCTCGACCAGGTATCTTTTCCTTTGATAAGCATAACGTGTACAGGATAAAAATAAATGATCTATTGATTCCGATTCCTTGCAAAAAAGACACAACGGAGATGCTGTTAGTTCAGCTTTATGTAGGTAGTAATTCAGATGCGGAAATCTGCATCGTAATCTGGTGATTGTAGTTTCTAACTGCCGAGATACACACCACTGTTTGTTCCAGCAATATCTTAGTTGTACGAAGTCTCTGACTTTATCCAATGATAATTTTTCTATTTCTTTGTGCAAACAAGCCTTTCTATATCTGAGTGCTGTTACGTAGGCAAAATCAGGTAAAATAGGTAAGATTGGTCCGCTTAAAGATGCTTTGGCTAACGAGTCTGCCATCTCATTAGGATAAATCCCGCAGTGGCCGGGTATCCATAGCAAGTGAAAATTTTTCAGGTTTTCTGGTAATAAACTGCTAATCATACTCAATAATGTCAAATGTTTTTCTGTAGATAGTGCAGTGCATACTGAGAGAGAATCTGTAAGTATGACCGCTCCTGATTCGCTTGCAGGAAGTTTATGAAGCGCTAGAATTATAGCAAATATTTCAGCGATGAATATAGGCGTGTAATCTGGTAATCGAACTGAGAAAGACCAGTCGAGAGAAGTACAGAAGATGCCTATTCCAGCCTTTTTGTTCAATACGGATGCATCCGTCGCAATAATGTTGTTTATGGACAGATGAGCCAAATAATCTTTTAACCGAATATTTAAATAATGAAGGGGCATTTGTTTTGCATTAGAGGGGAAAATATCATGAAGTTTAATTTCTTGTTTTGAATTAGGTGTCTTCGTTATGCAAATCTGATAAATATTTACATTGAGAGGCTCTAGCATTGCTTGGACGAACCTAATCTGAGGGGAGTGTATTCTAGACCATTGTGTTCCAAAGAATGCGGTTGGTTCTTGAATAAAAACGTATGAAGCTTGTCGCAGAGGCGAATTGTATATTTTTAAGAAAGTTTGAACTGTAAGTATTCTAAACCGAGTTAACAAAGGTGGAAGGCGCGCTTCCACATACAAAACATTATTTGCCACAAATTTTGGGAGTCCAAGACACAAGCGCAAAGCTTCTCTTTCTAATAATATTAATTGTCTCATCTTATAAGCCGCGCTGCCTGAAAATAATACACACCCGAATTCCATAACAGGCCGTACATACATCTTGTAAATCATTATCAATGAACTCCTACGCAATCCTATTTTTCTGTTTCCCAATTTGCGTAACCACCCCAAGGCACGTGACGCTTTACAGCCAACCTCGTCTATATGGCTTTTTCAATTTAGCGTCCTATTATATACGATGCCAAGGTATTTCAGGAAATCGACCTGGGGAATGAGCTCGGTACAATACATCAGGGAAATGTTAACACGATCTTTAAAAGAGAATGGCAGAAGTGCGCTTTTTTTGACGTTCAATGACATATGGATATTGTCAAGCCATCCTTCAGCATGTTCATGTAATTCTGTAATGCCTGATACAATGAGTGCAGATCACTGTTTGTTGCGAAGAAAGCAATATCATCTGCATATACGTAAATTTGGATATCCTGATGAGTTGGAATGGAACTTAGTAATATGTTGAATAACACCGGTGATAATACTGAGCCCTGAGGTACACCTCGTGTCTGCTTATATTTTTTATAAGAGCATCCATCCAAGAAGCAGTAAAATTCTCTGTCTTTCACAAACTCTGTAATCCATGCTGTTATATATTTTGGAAAGCGATGGTCTTGCATCTGCTGGATTAGGATAGGATATTCCACTTTGTCGTACGCTTTAGCTAAGTCTAGAGTGACTAGTGCACAGTATTCGAGGCGATGCCGAGCCAGCTGTATGCGACTTTCCAAATCCACATGTGCACACCAAATGGAGTATTCCGATCTAAAGCCTATTCGTCTGGGGTTTGGTATTGTATGTTCATTGATGTAGTTTATTATACGGGCATTTAAGGCTCTCTCTACAAGCTTGACCAGGTTAAATGTCAATGAAATAGGCCTTATGTTATCCAGAGTAAACTCCATTCCCTGTTTCTTAAGTATCGGAATTATTTTGGAAAG